GTCCATATTTATGTTCTACAAAATAGGGGTCTGAATTTTTTTGACATTTGTTGACAGGGTGAGGTCAAGACAATTTGACGTCAACTATGTTACTTTTTTTTTTTTTAATTTAGTTGATTTAAAAAAGAAAAATTAGTCAGAGTTTGCAGTTCTGTGTTAAATGTGGTAGTGGTGTATTGGAATATAGCTTGCTTCATAAGGAAGAGGTTTGAAGTTCGATTCCCACCAGGTCCCTGGTAGTACCATGCTTATCTTGTTTCTCCGCGCAGCAGCCTTGTTTGTGTTTCGAAGTTATAGAGTTGAGGGAGGGTTATAACCACAAGTAGCCTCCTCATCTGTAGTGGCCTTCTTGGCCTTGGGGAGGTGAATTACAAAAAAAAAACAAAAAAAAAACATACCTGCTAAACCTTCAGTATTTCAATTAAGTTAGTTATATTTCTACTTCTTAAAAACTGTGTTGTGCTTTAAAAAGACAACACAAGGTGTTTCATTACGGAAAATTTTTGAAAATAGTTAAGTTATATGCACAACGCCCTAAGTAATGAGTCAAAAAAAGTCTGTAAATTTTTGAAAAAATTCAAAATATCATTTAGAGGTCTTCATCTTGAAAAAGTAGCGTTGTTTTACCCTTTTTTCAACTTTGAATTTAATTTCAACATAAAATGACATTAATTCTTAAAAAATAAATAATTTCTTATTACGTTATATTCTTGGTGTATATAATAAAGGTTATCAGATGAACATTTGGCCAAATTTTCATAAAAAATAGTTAATGTCTAGAGGTCACCGTATTATAAAGTTTACTTTTTTTAACATATTTTATTGCTAAAAAATTCTTTAAATGCTTCAAAAAACATAATACTTTAAATAAAATGCAAAATTTTAGTTTTAAGCATAATTGACCACTAAAAGTCGTTGCATGATTAAGTATATAAATTTCATAAACTTATTTAAAAAAAGGTAGTTGTTATATCAATTAGCAAAATTGAAATTTAAAAAATTATTTTTAAAACTAATTTATTGGATAAGCAAATATTTTATTTTCATTATAACAATGAATCTTAGAAAAAATAATCAAGATTACTTAATTGGTAACCCTGAAACCAATAAATTATCAAGCTACAGTCGCCTACCAACAATAAAATATGTGTTAGGTAGATACTCTCATTTACATTTATATTCAAAAAACTTCTGCAAGAGATATTTTTAAACTTGTTCTTGGTGAGCTGAAGGAAGTTAGGAAAAAAGCTGAAATACCGATTTTATCAAATAACTTTTGTTATTCATTGCTTTCCAAATTATTGGGGGAAAAGGTAAATATAAAAATACTTGATCAAGCAAGTTGGAATTTTAAAGTTGGAAAAGAATAAATTGTCAGATTTTGTAATGAACTTGAGCAACTTTTTAATAAGTTGATAATATCACGTAGACCAAAATGGAAAGTATAGCAAATT